TTACCACAGGATCTCTTTTGAGGAAACACCTGATCCATTCATCCATTTTATCCAATACAGGGTTGCAGTACAACCAGAGCCTATTCTTGCAAGCAAGGGGCACAAAGCAGGATGCATCCTAGACGGGACACTAGTCCATCGCAGGGCACACACAGACATACAGTAAACAATGACACACTCAGATCAGGGTCAGTTTCCCCAGAAGCCAATGGACCTACCAATATGTCTTTATACTGTGGAAGGAAACCCACACGAACACAGGAAGTACATAGAAATCCAGGAATTAAACCCAGGGTTCCAGTGCTGCTGAATATTTTTCAAGACAAATATTGTGTGTTCAACCACAAAGAAATGTTTTGAATTGATTCAAATCAATGCCTTACTGTGGTGCAGTGTGTAATCTGTTCAAGCAACAAAGTCTCTTCGCCCTTCTCAAACTCAATAATGGTGATATTAGTGAGCATGGACAAATTAAATATCCTAGCCCTAACAGACATTCATTCAGTTTCCAGAAAGAATAACTGCCTATTAATCAACTTTCTGAGACAGTGCCTTAAGGTCTGTACTGTACACTGCACCTTACCAGTTCAAACTTCTACAATGTCAGTAGCTGACTGTGACCAGGAGTCCCCAAATAACGGCACACAATTGGCTGAGCACTACCATGGCTGATGGTACTTTAGCTGACCAGTCTTTCAACATTTCCTGTTCAGATTCCTAGGATTTACCCAATATCTCCGTGATTCAGGCGAGATCACCAGAAGATGCACTGTCATCCTGGAAGTGTAAAACTGTGTTAATCAACACATGACAGCAGTCAGGTAAGGCAGAGGATTGTGTTGGGAATTTGGTAAAGGAGTTGTAAGGAAGCTCCACTGATAAATGATTACTGGTTGCAAATTAGGTGTGTGTATTGTTTTTAACAGCACATTAACTACTTAGCATCTCAGATACAGTATTTCAACCCAAAAACTCTAAAAAAACATTTAGCTTAGACTACACATTTAGAAGAGATTAATTCAAAGTTCTGTTTTATGGTTTATGAACATCAATATGAACAAATTTTTATGAACAGAGTCCAATGCAAAAACTTAATGCCCACCGATTTATGTAAACTCAGATCTGTATGGCAAATAGTATTTTTTTTTCTTGGTGTCTGACAGAGTACTAGGGACAAGAGGTAACTACTCACAGCCCCAAACAAACTAGAGACGTGTGCCGTGGAATTAAAAAAAAAAAGTCCACAGAAAATGGCAGCTAAAACATCAACAAGGAACACAGGCAGAAGCTCTTGGGTGTCCAAAGCCCTGACCCCTAAATCAATTAGCTCTTGTGCAATGAGGTACCGAACAGCTTTACATGCTGTATTAGAAAATCAGTTACGTAATAGAAATGTTGGGGATCATGAAGACCAAAGTGGAGGAACAGTGTTGTCATGCTGTGGCATACTTAACTATGCCTCACTCGGCAGTGACATCCTGCTTGTTGGCCTTTCCTTTTGTGGGTGGTGCTCATCTAGATATCAACAGGAAAATCGCTTACCTAGAAATCAAACTTATTTGGAAGAACTCATAACAGAAACAGAAAATAAAAATGCCGGATGTTATCATAAATATGCTATCATCTTGCCCAGCATTTATAACTTCATCTTCTATTCCCATTGGATAAGAGGAAAATCAACCTGAGTACCAGATTCCACCAAATCAGACACTTGAAGAAATGTAAAATGGGTCTGAAATGTAGTCTACATTTTCCTTTAATATGTGACCACCAGCAAGCTGGCTACTGCAGTTCACAACATTATTCATTTTCCTTATATGTTACTGAGATAAAGGTCCCTGCTGACAGTCGCCAGTTTTGTGACACAGCTACATGGCATACTATGGTTTTCCGGAGGTATATAAACCAGTGCTCTTGAAAGGCAGTCAAAGAAAGTGGGAGAGTCGCCAGAACTGTGCTTTAGAGCAAAGGTTCCCAGTCCTGGAGGCCCACACACCTGCCAAATGCCATTTCAACTGAGTTTAATAAATTGATGTAACAAGCTGCTTTATTGGATATTTTTATTTAATGAAAATTCAAAAGTTCCAATAATTCCAATATTTTATCGATTTTTTTTTTACTTAAGAAATGCAACAGACAAAAGGTGACCTCCAAAGTGTTCAGGAGCCAAAATCAGTCAAAAACAATCCAAGTGAATCCTGTGACGAAGGGCTCAACTGTGTAACTGAGAGCTGGGCTGGAATGTAACCCAGCAGCAGGTGTGTGGGCCTTTGGGAACCGGATTAGGAGCCCCTAGTTTGGAAACAAGGGACCACGTGCTCAAACCTCAAAAGGTAATGACTGTTTTGCACTCGAGCTTCTAAAAATCATTACTTTCTACCTTTTTCCTATGAACATTTTAGGACATTAAAATACCAGTGGAAGAAAATACTTTTCTAGATTTGGGGCACTGGTGATACTGCATAAATCACAACTTGATGAAGACGTTAGCACGTCAATATTACTTTTTTCATAAGCTGACTTTTCTGGTTTGGAGCCACTTGTGTGACATTTCCAACACATATTAGTATTGGTATATTAGCAGAGAGCACATATTGATAAATAGGAACAAGTAATAGGTTTATTCCATGCTGAAAAAAAGAAGAAAGAGAACACAACATTTCGGCCTTGGAGCCTTCTTCAGGTGTGGCAGCTCCACGGCCGAAACATTGTGTTCTCTTTCTTCTTTTTTTCAGCATGGAATAAACCTATTACTTGTTCCTTTGCAGCCTACGCATGCTGACGCAGCTACCCATCTGAACACATATTGATAAATATTTTGCTAGTTTAAAAGCTACCAATCTGTTAATCGTTCAAAGTTTAGATTGTACTTCTTGCCTGTTCAGAATTCTGAAACACGGGCAAATTATCCTCCTGTATTTGGACTATGTCACTCTTATGTTACTGTACATAATAATATATAAAAGGTTAGAAAAAAAGGAATATGTTTTATCCATCATTTTCATTTGATTAATCAATCGCAGAATCTCAACTTTTTTCCAGCATCCTAAAAAAGTCAATTTGAACAACAAAACTTGTGAGCCTGCTCCAGAATTCAAGATTCCTTGTGTAAGACATACCTAGGACCATATACAGTACACAGTCCAAAACAATATTTCATTTCCAGTTCTTTCCATGTGTCATTGTTAATATTGATGTGATGAACAAGACTCAGTTTGACTTGAGGAACTGAAATGCATAAATCAAACTCCCTTGCAATTTTATCTTCTCAGAACAAGGTCAAGTTCTTCCTTCCTGCAATACCAGGAATTAGACCATCTGCTTTCTTCCAAACTGCACACTCTACTTACTAGTGCGTTGCAGAATTTTAACTACTTTATTTGGTATAAACTCTGTTTTCAAAACACATCCACACTTTTCTCAATTCAATTTTTCAATTCAAAATATCAGTATCACCCATGTGATATTTATAATGCCTTTTCCTGTTAAATGTGTATGGTACTTCCTCCTTCGGCCCATTATCAGAAAGATACTCATGATAAGGTTCACAGTATTATTTAACAAACTAATACTGAAAGTTTGGATTTATTTTACCTATTGTTTTAAGTGTCTCCTATTTTCCATCTTATTCAAATTAACAAGTTAACTGTAGACATTAAGATGGCTGACGAACAGGAAAAGCTGAGTCAAAATTATTCCTGTAGTACATTAAATATTCCCCAAATTATGCAACTTCAGTTTGAGGTTCTGCCCTTATATGTTCATGTACACATTACTCACTTACCATTCTTAGGTCATTTTCCTGGTTCTGGGCTGAAAATGCCTAAAACATGATCTGCCTTTTCTACACCTTTCTAATCTCCTATAACACAGTTAAGGCTCAGAAAATCTTCTGGTAATCCTAATTAATATTTAAATATAAAGACTGGGGCACTTCTACATGGTTATTTCTATGAGAAAATAATTTGTGTATGAAATATTCTATAATGAATTATTGTAAAGAACACTTAAAAAGCCCACAAGTGAAAAATCAGGATCAGGCATCAGGCCCTGGTGATTTATTTGATCACTCCTTGTACCTGAAATTCTTCTGCCTGTCTTCAGCTTGAAACATGGTACTTCGTCTTCCTTGAACACCTGTGTGAAATAGTGGTTTGATACATTTTTCATTTCCTTACACCCACTCTAATTCATTATTGTCTCTTAAGATATTTTACCACTGCATTCAGCAGTGCGCCGTCATAAGACACAAACCGCAGCTCTCAACATGAGAGCAGGGTTTCCACACTGTAAACACTCCCTGAAGGAGATATAATTCTATTTTTCTATCGGACAAGAGCCCAGATACAGATGGACTCTGACAGCAACACCAACACAGCACTGACCAGAGAAACAAGAGGAAATAATGTGAAGGTACATTTAAAGCTAGGAGTAGGAGGTACTTCTTTACCCAGATATTTTAGGAATATGGAACAAGTTACCCAGTCATGTCGAAGTCGAGATCATGACTCCCTTCAAGAAATGGCAGGGTGACATCTTTTGTTCAATAAGCTACTAACTACCAAAACAGTCAGAGGGGTCAAATGTTCTCCTATCATTAGTAACTGTTCTCATATTCTAACAGTGAGATTTACTGTTGTTTATCTGTCTTCCTCTCCACCTCAGGAACTAAACACAGATAGGAACAACAGACAGATGTCCTGCTGTAATCAGTCAAACAACATAAAATGACATCAAGTTCTCCCATTCGCAGTCTGCCCTGGAACAGAGTAGGAATTCTACTGGTCTTACACTGCAATGCAATTCATATTTTAAAAGGCCATCACATTACTTCAGCATTTTTACAGCTGTTGGTTTTCACAACAATGATATGAAACAATGGTGTTTTATTTTTCTTAGATGAGAATCTGACAGCTGCAAAGAAATCATCAACCAGAAGGCACACTGACTTATGTCTTGTTAATAAACTTTTCGTGTTGTATTGAAATGAAGCACGAGAGTCAAGTTTTTCTTTTGTTTTTTTTCCACATAATTGCAAGGCAAACTTAAAACTTTACTAGGAAACAGTTAAATAATACCCTATGGTAACAGTGCAGGTAAAAAGAGAAAATACACTACATTACATTCTTAAACATCATTAAAACACAACCAAATCAACTTGTGTTAAAAATAAAAAGAGCAAGCACATTGAAATGAAAAAGAAGAACAGTAAATAAATGGGTTTTATTAGTCATGTATGTTGAAACCTACAGATACTATAAATAAACAGACTTCAGAAGCCTGAACTATTTGTTCCCCTGTGAGGCAAAACTGACACAGGTCAGTTCATATGAGACATGCTACATTAAGAGGATCAGCCACACCAGGGCTCCTTCACTGCAGAGCTACCATACTACAGCTGGAGAAATTAAGGCTCAGATTTACAATGCAGCCCAGCATTAGAATGGCTGCCATGAGAAATGCATACCCCATAATCAAAAAGACTTCAAATCCCCAGCATACACCTCAGCTCTAACAACAGTCTTTGGACTAATATAACTGTTCACGATTAACTTACAACTATTATAATGCAATACCCAAGTATATTGATTCACATTGTTAATGAGACGTTAACAGAGTTTAGATCTGGCCTTCAAAATCAAGTCTCACTACTAGATTCAGTCTTCAGCTGATGTTCACACAGCCTGTTCCTTATGCTACAGGAGATACACTATGTAGCTGTAGTCTTTTTTTATGAACACTCATTCAGCTGAGGGGAGAGGAGGGGACACGTGACCTCCAAAGCAGGTTCTGCATATTATCTACAGTGCATCTGCTGAACAACCAAATTACCCTGTGAGTGTGTGCTCAGGGATGATCAAGCAGTCTGCTTTAGGTTCTTGGAAGAACTCAATGTGCAGCTACACACCAGGAAATCTAGGAGAGATACCCTTCTATAAATCTCCTTCAGAAGAAGGAAATCCAATTAAAATCTAATTATAAAGCTGCAGGGTTTCTGAATTCTAACACGTCATGCTCTAGACCAAGGGCCTTTCAACCTCTTCAGGAACACACCCACTTTTTCAAAAGCTCTTTCTCAACGAGACCGTCAAGTTAGTCATAAAATCTAACTAAAGTCATTATTTAATATACTCTTCATTAACTACTAAAAGCACAACAGTAGGTCAACAGATCTGCTAGTCAGCCATAGTATATCTTCTGTGTGACGGTATTCATAATCAAAGGTGACAAGTTTGTTTTGGAGGCAAACCAGACAGCCTATAAGAACCTCCCCAGTACTCCATGAACTCCTAGCTGAAACCTCCTCCTCCACCCCAGAATTAGAGGGGCCTCTTGTATTTATCAAAGGAGCATAGGACATGAGTAGAGTGTGGAGAATGCTCTTGATTCATTCATTGCATAATTTCACAAAATTATTTAGTAGAGAGATTCATTCCTTAAAACATTTTTAAAAAGTCAAAGTGGACTTTCAAATTTAAAATGTATTTTGTCCACAACATTTCTTAAATCATAAAATAGTCTGAGATCCACACCGTTTTGCAAAACTCAGCATATGTTACTTCCACCCAGCAGGAGCATGAAGAAATAACTGGAAAACCATTTATGGTCCCTCACATCTGGTTCAGTGCTGAAGGCTCCTAAAGAACTCTGTTTAGCAGATACATTAGCAATACCTGAAACATAGGGATGGTTTCAGTGTACCAGAATTAAGAGCCCTGCTAGTCTGCATCCCTATGCACTTTTACTTGTGTGCCGATTCTGCCTGCTTTCAGATTTTAATCCACAAGAGTCCATTTCCAATTTTCACAAGGGATAAATAAGTGGGATTTAATGTTCAACTGCACAGACAGCACTGGGAAGAAAAATGAAGCATCAGGGCATCACAGCAGAAATGCAACAAATCAAAAAGTAACAAAAACAGAGCCTGATCGCATTTAGATCATGAAAATCACTAGATTTGTCACTTTTGACACACATGGTGCAATCTCATACCCTGTAGGGATTTTAGAGGAGAGAGGCACTGCGTTATCAACACAGGTCGTTGATTGGGGTTTTTCGTTTTTATGACTATCTGTTTTTGCTGGAGAAAATAGACTTAATAAGGATATATCCAGTTATGTTTGACTATAGGAAATCACCTTCCAGTTTATTTTTATTGGAAAAATAAAGCTGCCTAACTAATGCTACTGCTGAATGGACATTTTCTACACCAGCTGGAATGAAAAGTGCTTGCTGGCACAATTGTGGATGTCTGGTCAACAGATTGGCAATATGAAATATGCATTTGTAAACTAAGCAAACAAGATTCCCTACAATTCAAATACCACCAACGTGAAGTTATCAGGACGAAAATCATCCCCTCGAGCACAGTGAAATAAGCTGTAAGAATGCAAAACCAGCTGAGCCTTCAGTTTCTGAACAGTCACGGATGACAGTGTTTTACCAGCATGGTACCAGGTTATTTTAAAGCTTTAGTGAGTTTCTGGTCCTAAACTACTAGTCAACAAAACAGTCTACCAAGGTCCTGGTGAAATTAATCAACGAGAATATGCTACTCACAGCACATGCGATCAAAGGAAATGGGTTTTTAGGGAATTTTTGCGAGAGATGGAGCCAATGCAGATTCTGCATCGCTCCACAATTTAAAATAACAGTTAAGTGTATAAGCACACTCATACCAATGTAAAGCAAATACATAACACGATTTTCCATTATTCTAGTTTGTCTTCAAAACTGTTTTTTTTTTCTGCACTGTTATTTACTCAATCTATTAGATAATTAGTTATTCAAGTATCTATGTGCGTGCTGCTATCTATGATGGGGATAAACCCCCAGGGGAAAAATCAAGAGAGCTGGAACACTGGATTTTTTTTAGAGGTGACTGAAAACTGCAACATCTGGTGAACACCCATGCGAATATAGGAAAAACATGCAAACTCCATACAGACAAGTGTTAAAAGGCCAGAACTGAACTCGGGACCCTAGAGCTAGAAGGCAGTGGTGTTAACGACCATGAAACCCTTATACACAAAAAAAACCACAACAAAAAAGCAAAATGAAAAACCTATCTCATGCATTGCGATGTCAGTTTGTTCTACTGTTAAAGATCAATTTTTGACCCATCCTACTTAGATATTCTGTTCCGAGTTCTACATAACTGTAGTCTGGCGTCCTCAGGATTATATTTTTGGCTTTGTCTTTTACTAAAATGTTGCTTTGAGTTGGACTAGAGTACAATTCCCTTAACCTGGAGAGAACACTTTTGCCAGCTTTATTACATTTGAGAGAGCACACGGAAAGATAACATAGCAGGGGGCAGATAAATTGTGCTTGCAACACTCATATTACTCATTTGGCATGTTGTTTTTATTTTTGACCCCTTGATTCCGATGAGGGAATACCTCAATTCTTTTGATTAGAACTCGATTTCTAACTGGGTTTAGTAATTCCCTTGTATGGCAATTTTGTGTCCATAAGTTAAGAAATGATTTATTATCCTTGTTGTCAGAAAGAAATATCAGATTTTTTCCCCTCTTCACATCTCGCTTTGCTTATTGCCACCATTACAATGTAATCCAAAACAGAGATGCTGCCTCTACACAGCACACCAGGATACTTCTGCTTGGGCCTGTCTGGGACTCATCAGGTACAACATGTGACTGTACTGCCTGAGACTTGTCTGGGATACAAGCAGGTACACCAAAGCATCAGGAAAAAAAAAACAGTTACTAAAACAGCTGAGGTGCACTTTAAAGTGAGCTAAAGAAAATGGAGCATAAGACACTCTTGGTCTGCATGGAAACCCATCACAAAAGCATGATGGATTTCTAGCAAAGGTCATGTGCTCTTAGAGGGAGCTGTAGCAGACCCTTAGAGATAGTAAGAAGATACAGTGTAGCAGATGAGTATAACAGAAAGCAAATCACTGCACAGACACAGTCCTTCTAAGTCGTATTATACAAATTAACTTAAAACTGCCCATTACCGTACTTTCCGAAAAGGCACATTTCCAGCAATAGTGTAAAAGATCAACTGAAGCTGGCAAAGGCATACTAAAGCTATATCACCACAAAGCAGGAAGGAACCGCAGTGTATAGGTTGATAAGAATAATACCCATGATAACACTGCATTGCCTATTAAAGTGTCATTCAGCTCCTTAAAATGTTGAACACACAAACTATCCACTCTATCCTATCACCAACTCAAATGAGCACATCTCTGTGGCAGAAAGCAAGCACTTTGGAGCAAAGCATGGCGAATACAGAAAGCTTTGTTCAGTATAATTTCCAACTACCGTGCTGCACAATTACCCACAAAACGTACTACTTAGCAGCAGGGATTTCAGTAACATTGGGGAAAAAAAATGCATCTGCAATGCAGAACTGGACAAGTAGCTGCTCAGAGAGCGGTCACATGGATAAAGAGGTAATGATTTTTAATCCAGCCCAATAATAACTTCCACATGAAAGGCAATTTGAAGGTTACAATAAATGGCTGTTCACATAAAATGGTTTTAACAGGAACACTAACTTAAGAAATAAAAACTGTGAACAAGCTCTCCATTCACAGTATGTTGCAATTTGTTTCAACACCAATAACTCCTTTCTGAAATGAATGGTAAGATGCCATCCTTCAGAATTCACCTAAGCACTGACCAGAATTTAAAAAAAAGTTAAAACCTTTAGCCAAAATCATCTTAAATTTAAATGGTAAGGTACAGTATAGCAAAAAAAGATGTTTTAATAACTTATATGGTTCAAAATATAGATCTTGAATGCAATTTGCAAAAATATATGTATATGCATGCAAAGATCTAGCCACTTCTTCTCAGATTTAAAACTATAAAACTAATTTTGTGTGAATTTAAGTATTTGTCCTGATTACAAAATGTTCCTTAAAACCCAGTCCACAAGGAATTCATTTTTTTATTCTAGTGCCGATACCTAAATAATAATAGCAATTCCACCCAATCGGTTTTAAAAAAAGAAAAAACTGGGACCTCGCTAAACAAATAAACACACAAGCAAAGTATCATACAATTCTGCATCCATCACTGACATCTGGATACATATAGAGATATTCCTCCCATATATAGCCGTATGTCACAGTTCTACAATATTCAAAAGAACTGGCCCTGAACCATCTGAATCTACATACTTTCAATTCCATGTGGCATGGAGCTAAATTACCAAACTGACCAGAAAAATGCTCAAGGAACTAAACAGTGCCACCTATGGAAGAACACCTAAATGAGTAAGCCGAGCAGAATTACACATTTGAGAGATACAGGAGCATGAGTATTGCACTGTATTAGATTAAAATACAGTAGTATAGTGAATGATCTACAGTATTTTTGATGCCACCTATGCAACTGAAACTGATCTGTTGCTATCCTCCATTTAGTTAACCTACATATTTATGTATAGTTTAGTCATTCATTGAGTTGTTCTTCGTACCATAACATAAATGTCATGTTCACTTTGAAATATCTAGCAACACAGATGAACAGTTTCTACTATATTGTATATATGATATAAAAAAAGATGCAGAAATGTCTATAGAATGCCCAAAATAATTAGAATCATTTTAAAGTAAAACCTCAAAAAAAAAATTTTGACTTTCAGTCTTGGTAGATTCTGACCAATTCCCAAGCGTAAGACCTTTCAGAAAGGACTATACAAAAATGCAAAGGCAAATCTAAATTCTGCTAATGATACTCTTTTAATGTAATATAATAAGACTACCTTAGCCTCATTTCCAACAGGTCTTAGGACCTTCTAATTTCAATCTTGACTAGGGTTAAATCTACCACATATGAAGATAACTCATATTGGAATTGGATAAAAAGCCTATAGTCCTAATCTGGGAATCATGAAAAATATATTTTTGCACATTTTATCAGAGAAAATTAGATTGTAGATTGAATTTAATATAGGGAAGAGAAAGCTTTGTTTCCTATTATCCACATACCATGGTGGTACATTATGCAAACATATAAAGGAAAAATAATTTGGCACAGACTGGATTTCAGTTTTTCTCTAATATTATAATTTAACTCCATCCCCATGCACAGCCTTTCCAGCCCATGACTGACACCATGTGATTTACAGAAATGCTTATTGACACATGAAGTGATAGTTATCATAAGCAGCCCCTCATCAAACTGTGCCTGCTCTAAGAAAGGCAAAGAAAGCTGGGGAAACAAAATCTAGATAAAGACTAAAATAAAACCTTCTCTAGGATTTTTAACAAAACCTCACCCTGTCTTTATCCCTGTATGTAACTGATATACTACTCTCTGCTGTCACCCAAGACCTCATTCTCAGAGATTGTCAAAATGCTCAACCAGGATAACAGGATTTCCCTGTATGAAACTTCATGCAAAGCACATGGTTTCAGGAATCCTACTCATGTTTCACATATGAGAAACTAATTTAGAAATCTGAAGAGTTTGTAATTAATGCAAGCCTTTCTGCAGGTATTTTGTATGATGTACAGACCACTGCAATATCCTCCTCAGAAATCCCACCTGCTGTGATAATTTTGTTCATTCCAGACTCTTAAATTAATTTCACCGGTTAAGTGCAGACAGTATTGTGACTCTCCAATGTCAAATTACAGAGAAATAATAGGCTAGGTCTTAGTGCTTCAACTTTGTTTACATAGAAACTAGCATATTCCATCCATAACATTTATTGACTGAAAGACAGACAAAAATCTGATGAGGAGAGCAAAATTAAAATCTAATGTTTCTCACTGTTCTGCTCAGCAGTAAAAGTCACAGCTGGTGGGATTTTACTGGAAGAAGTGTTGTTCCTGAATTGCAAAAGCTGCAAGAAGTGCCTTTGGCAATTTTTTAGCTGTACAAGCTAAAGTGATCTATAATACTGACCAGGTACACTCAGAAAACAGTTGTAAAGTTCAAAAGGTGCTGGTCAAATAAAAATGCTAAAGAGGGCTCGGGAAAGGAAGGACATTTCACTTTTATAGCTATAATACTTTGCTCAAGGGGATAAAGACAAGAAAGTAAAATTATATAAAAGATAACTTGCTGGAACTGCTGTCAAGTCAATGCAGTAGTATCGCATATCTCATATTTTATCATGCAAAACCAGGGAATTTATAAAGTGTCAGAGAATGTGTTTGAAACATGGTGCTGACTGAAAGATCTACGGTGATGAAACCTTGGCTATTCCAATCCCCCCTTCGTCCCCCCTGCCACCCTGAGCCCTAGTGACTTGGTTTTCTGTTGCAACAGCTGTTTGCTTCCTATTAAGAGGTAACTGTGGTTCAGTGGTGCTTTCTGAAGCTGTGTGCCTGACTTGTCTTTATCTCTTTAGGTGGAAATGAAGAGGCTCACAACAGCCTGGTTCAGAAGTGCCTCTCAGGGCTCACCATTCTCCTCCTGTGTTATTTCTGTATCTGGAAAATAAAGAGCCTCAGGTTAATGTTCTTGGCTGCCAGCAGTTTGTTGCACTCCACCGAGTCAATGATGGGCAGGGGCATGTAGTCAGTCTCATTGGTGTCGTTGCTGAAGACGTAGTGGTAGATGACCGGCTTGATCTTGACATCGTCATAGGGCCCCTTGAGCAGCAGGTAGGAACACTCAAGCGCAGAGTTCACCTTGCTCTTCAGGATCAGCTGGAAGGACAGCGTGCGCTTGCAGGACAGGTTGGGGTTGCGCTCGGAGTCGTTCACGCGCGCCTTCAGCACCCAGGTCTGGTTCAAGACTGTGAAGCGCGGGGTCTCGTAGTACAGCCGGGTGATGAAGTCATCTGTCCGATATGGTCGGAACTGCACTTCTAGAGAGCAAGAAGCAGAAAAAACAGAGCTTAGGCTGCACGCGCAAACAAGGCAAGTTCTCTGCTATGACACTGCTACAGTACAGAAGAAAACAGACCAAAGCGAAAAACAATACAGCTGCACACTGCCTGGCAGAAGTCAGGACAAATTCATTTTCCTACCTTGTTAAGGTTGGGCTTCTTGTTGACGACAGCGGAGAAAGGCTTAACAGCCTCTGAGAAGCCAAGGTAAAGACATTTACATAGCAATAGACGAATGGTTACAAACGAGGGGAACCCATTTGAGCCAATCTTGCTCACCAAGTTGCTCAGAGTTAAATGATGTGTAAGAGTCCATGAAGCATCTTTCCGAACACTCTCAGCAACAACTGCAACTCTGTTAGTGCCTTATATCAGTTTTGAAGTGGAATTGGAAATGAAAAGCAGGAACTGCCTATCCATGATTTTTACAGCTCCATCCCATTTTGCTTCAACAGAAAAAGACTGGGAAATACTATGTAGATAATGCTTCTGTAAAAAAATCCTACTCTAATAAATTCATACCAAGTCACATCTCAAGGATCTTGTTTCTAGTGTACATTCTGCTGACATTGTCACAGGTTTTCATCAAGTGTTCAAAGTCACAGGTACAGAATTCATGTGCAAAACTGCCTCTAGCACAATTGTCATCACCCTTACAGGTGATACCTGATCATATGCAAAGCTAGTGAAAAATACAGTAGTGGTGGGAACAGGGTTTTTCAGATTTTATGCCTAAAAACACTTAAGAAGTCCTTTGTACAGCTGTGTTACTGTCGAAGTTCTTTAATAGTTTGCATACTCAACAAAGGGACACACTAAAGGGCAGAGAAAGACCTGTGAAGCCGATCTTCTCGAAGCACAGCAGACTGAAGATGCTGTTGTAGAGCTGCATCTCTTTACGGTGGGACTGGTCCATCTCATCCAGGATACCCATCAGCTCATTCCCTGTTTTGGTGGGATGGCAGCACTCTGCCTCGTGTACTGTCAGCTCATGGAAGGGACCCTGCCAAGGACAGCCAATCCGCTTGTACTTGCACTGGGTCACTCTGCAAAGAAAGAAGAAGAAACAGCAGCTGATGAGAAAGAGGATAGATGTTTGTTCATCCAGTCTCTAGCTATGAAGTGGCTGTCTCTATCCCAGTCACTCAAGTCACTATCTTGGTGTATTATGCCATTTTGATCAATTACATAACATACTTCCTTGTGCGACAGAAAGCAAATAATACAGCCCTGCAGAAGAACAGAGAAGCTGTTAGCACAAGAATAAAACTAACCTGTACACTACTGCATAAATGAAGTTAAAGAAAGATGGAGACAGAAATGTCAGGCTTCTAACCAGCATCTCCATGCCATGGAGTCAGTCCATTAGAGCTGGGGGAACAGTTCTAATGCTTGGAAGTTCATTGATTACTAGATTAGGAGAGCGTGCAGCAAAGATGAAACACACCAGACACAGGAGCACCTGATGATCGGTCCATACCTGTCCTGGCACTCCTCCTTCTGGTGCCTCTCAAGCACACTGCGGGGGAACTGCTTGAGGCAAAAGCCGCACTCGCAGGGCAGCTCGCTCACTGCCTTCTCTACTGCCAGGTTGCGGCAGCACAGGCTCTTACTGATCTCGCAGCGGCAGTTGGGGCAGGTGGCCTGCTCCTCCTTCAGCCGTGCATCCGCCAGCAGGTGGATGAAGCAGCCGGCACACATCAGGTGCCCATTCGTACACTGTGGGGTTAACAGGGCACGCACAGAGGGTTAACAACAAGCCATCAGGGGGCTGGGGGGGTGGGACACATACAAACACCTGCAGTCAGGGTAACCTCCCCTTCCTGTCGAGGTAGTGAGACAAGGAGACGGTGTTAACAAATTCAGAAAAAAAAATGGCAGTTTCATAAACCTCGAACCATAAAAAACATTGTATCTCACCGAGTTTGTCACGTTTTAATCATGCAGATCGCAAAAGTGTACCGTATTGTCTGAAACCACTGCTTTCTGCCTAGTATGAGTCCTTCACCAGTGAACGTGACACAAGCTTAGATGAATTGTAGAAGGCATTCGTAAGGATTCACAGAACCAAAGCTGTGCAATGGCAAACTCCAAAACCTTATTTTTACTCAAATAAACAAGCCAGTGGGCACAGGAAGGACACAGCAACTCGCCTTGCTGAATATCCTGAAGAAAAAAAGTTACAGCAATAGAAGACATTTTCCATGTTAGGTAAAAAAAGAAAAGGATCAGAGGTGGTAAAATGCTTTCAAAAACTGAAAACAAATCTGTATTTTTAATTTGTTTTGTGGTTGAGAAAGCTGTGGAAACCAACCTAGAAAATGACCAGGCTTTCTGGATGAAGGAACACCTTCCTTACGCTTGCATTCACAACACGTTTCAAGAACTGGAACCACACTGGCAGAAAAGACTCTTCAAAGCAGCTTTTGTAAAATCTGTATGTCAGCAGGAAATAAAACCACTGCTTGCGACTCCAAACAAGCACACGCTCCTGTGGCGACTTTTTTTCTTCCCAGTTATAAGTGGGGCATTCAGCAAAGACTGGGGGCTGGCAGTCATCTGTAGTAAACACCAGTTGAGGAATGTGTAAAATCTCATGACGAGGTCCGTTACTATGGGGGAAGGGTCTCTCTCAGTCAGCTGACTGCTGCTCTCCATCAGCCTCTCTTTGGGTTCTGCTGCCCCTTCTCTCTTTTTTAAACTGGCAGTACACAATGAATTCGTCCCACAGCCAACAGAGGTCCTAGAAAATGCAGGTATTTTAAATGCATTGCAAAATAGAGAAACCTGAAAAAATTGGTTTGTTTTTTCTGTTGCTACCAGATGGATAAAAAAAAATTGTGTTACTGGGAAACACTGATCACACAGCCATCCTGTCATTGGGTGCAAATTTGTCCTTCTTTCTGTGCACAGTGATGCACAGGAGCAGCGCTGGAAATTCCTCTGTCCATCACTCTTCTTTGGGAGGATTTTCACCTAAATAATGTTGCTTACTTATGTTATACTGTATCACCTTCATTTGCAGCAACAAATAACAGCAAATATCCTCAACGACCAGGATTGCAGAGCAACTAACACCTAAAACCACCAATAGCACACTAATGCATTTCTTTATGAGTTTGCATAAAACGTGTCTTCTTTGGGTGTCCCCAGGAATTTTTATTCAGCAGGATAAGACGTACTGGGTACATGTGATGAATGTTTGCTAGGGCAATGTAAATCAGAGTTCAGTGTTTTGGAGAGGGGATACAATGTAACAACATTTGGTGAATCCATCAGTGAATCTCCAGTACCTGCAGCATACTGGAAACAGGACAGCAATCAAAAAACCTGGGGGGTATTAATGACAGCATCCACATGTAGCCAAAAGATCAGAGTGTCTCTGCTGCTTTAAATTGGTTTTCATTGAATTGATTCCATCATTATAGCCGTGGCCTTTCATAGTCCTGCCTAAGGCTCCAGCCAATAACTTTCTGACTCAGGTGACTCACATTACTGCACTAACATTGCAGATGTTAGGACTTCCCTGCAAAAACTGCATTGTTAATTTATATGTGAAATACAACCCTCTGTGCTGAGTTCTCATGAATTTCATTCTATAACACTAACTAATAAATTACTATTCTAATGCAACTTTGCCTCTTGGTCACCTTGAGTGCAGCCAGACAGTTAATTACCCAAGTAAACACAGTTCTTTGTCTCTTTTGTTGAATTCTGATAGCTATTTTTTTTTACAAAAATCCAAATGCAACCTAACTTATTTCACCTAAATGGTAGCAAGAATTAGATGTACACTGAGCTTTGGCACAGGCAGAAATCACTGAAACACTCCCACACATTTTTTAAATGTCAAAGAATTCAAGGTTCATTAGATCAAGTATGGTAGTGCTTGAAACTTGATTTACTTAAACCTCAAGTGCATTTACTTCATTTTAATACACCATGTGCAACATGATCCGTTTCCCAGAACTGCTAAGGTGGTGCTCACCATGAAAAAGCTTGATTAGACTGATTAATCCAGGTCCCAGTAATGCGTTACCAACAAAACCAGGGAATGTTCTCCCTCATTTACGGTCTCTACCATCACAAAACTATGTGTACTGTCCATGTATAGGTAGAGCACAGTCTGTACTTCAGAAACATGACTTTGTCAGAACTCACACTGTTCAGAGCTGTTTGAGTTCTTGGAACATACATACATTTTCTCTTTAACACCCATGCCTTCAAATAGATTAGATGTTCATTAACTACCCTGTAAAACTTATATTTTCTTACACAGCTCTCTGAAGCCTGTGTCCCAGCCTGCACAATACAATGGAGACTTTTTGGTAATAATTCAGTTATAAAAAGAAAACACGAGTAACAAATCAGTTAACCCACTGGCATTAGCTGCACTGAAAGCTAACGGAATTGTCATTTGGTAAACAAAATACATTAGTCTAGGCTTAAGTGTATGGCCTAAGAAAAATAAACTGGTTTAAGCTCAAGTGCAACACTAGATGAGCTTGAAATTTCGCAAAAAATTTCACATAATAGTGCTATGCTAAACAAGATCATATTAAGTAGTATATTAGACACAAGAGCTTTTTGCAGCAGTGTAAAACTTAACTACTGCCTACTATCCTAAGTAATCACTTTAGTTTTAATCAAACACTGATCAGAACTTCCTGAGGATAAGACGATCAGATTTTTAACAATGAGCTATTTTTTCACGATTCAGCTGAGTGCCATCTCTGAAGCAAAGTGCAAGCTTTGGAGAAAGATATGTACATCTTGAGAAGTAACCTTGTGATTTAAACGAAGAGTCTGCCACAGCTCTCACGTAAAAAATGAACATACAAATTAAAGAGGCTAGAAAGACTACATTAAGTCACAGTGCTAAGCATTGTTACAGGCTACCTGTACTTCAGTATATATATACATATCTTCCATTTTATGATGATCACTGCCAAATTAGAACAAAAATTCACCCCTCTTAATATTTATATTGCTGGTCCCCAGACCTGATCCTGAAAACCATGAATCCTTCAGTTTTTCAGGATCTTTTCCTTCAGCAGTTAAAAATCACATCAGTGTTGACAAATTAAGATAGCAACAATTAAGAATGCAAATTAAGATACATCATTTCAGTAAAAAAAAAACAGAACCTTGAAAGCCCTCCTGTACCAGGGTTGGACACCCCTGCCCTTTCCTATAGTCTTTGCTTAAATTAGAACTTGATTCTCGCTGGTACTGTTTTTTTTTGCTTAGTTTCAATTTTCCAGCTGCTCTGATGGAAACCTTTGCACTAAAATATCACAGGCTGTAAAGAGATGATCTGCAGTTTTGCCCTGCAGGAATGCAGCATCTCTTACAGTTATCTGAAGCAGCAGGGAGAGACTCGAGGATTTTATTACGTGTCATTGTGTAATGGCGTTGGTGGAATCATCGCTTACCTGGAGAAAGGTGACATGGTGGACGGGCCCTGATGTGTATGATGTCTACACACAGCCAGGCGGCGTAGGGACGCATTGTGTTACACACCAGCACACACTCAATATTACGAAAGGCTTCAGTTTATTGTATTTTTTTTTAAGTCGGCACGACATTTTGGCAAGCCCGAACAGGCACACACTGCAGACAGCCGATTCAATACAGTATTTCATGTTATGAACTCACAATGCACTTACATGACAAAGCTGCAGCACACTTGCAATTTCGGTTCTACATTCGATTCACAATTCTTACTCATTTCTCTTTGTCAGTCATTTTACCAAAACACAACAGACACTCGGTAATGTAATATTTTGTTTTACCTGGTAGACGGACGCTTTGGGCAGGTCTAGGCACACGGTACAGCACAGGACAGAGTACAGTCTCTCCTCCAATTTCCCTGCCTCGCCTTCCTGCAGTCTCACCCGCTTCTTGGGCGGCGCGTCCGGGTCGGCCTCAGGCCCCGGTCCCTCTCTCCGCAACCCAGCCTCGTCCTGTCCTCCGACTAGCCCGGCGCCCCCTGGCCCCGCTTCGAGGCCGGCTCCCACCGCCCCAACCCCAAGCCCGGCCGAGGAAGAGGAGCCCGGAGTAGCGACAGCCGCGACCCCCACATCTCCCCTCTCCTCTAGAGAAGACATCGGGGATGCAGCGGGTTGTCTCTTTGTCTGTCTGCCTGCCTGCCTGTCAGCCCGAGTTCAGACGCGCAGTGCGCCCCAAACTGAATGTACAGCTGTGCAATGAAAAGTGGTTACACTATATTTCGTAATATTAGATGCAATAATAGCGGTGCAATTTTGTAATGCCCAAGAAGTGACGTCTGCATCTAATGAGAAACCGTTGAATTATATTGATGCTGATGTCTATTATGAAAGAAATTTTACATTTTCCCAACACTCAAAATATAGATCTATTTTGCTTCAGCTGAAAACAAAACAACACACGTTGAATTGTCTTTACTGCTCGGTGTCACCACCCAGCCTCCAGATCACCGGCACCCCGGGCTCAGTACATCGATCCTCCGCTTTCTTCCTACCCAACCAGCGCTGAGCTCCTCTGGACCAGATCCGCTCCGACTTTCCGTCTCTATCGCGACTCAGCTTGACATCGACTCCTGGACTGGGCAGCCATCTTTGTTTTTCTTCTATTCGTCTCCTCCTCTCAAAAAGACTCCTGAACGTCCCCCAATCTGTTTTAGGATTACTCTACAAGGGTCACAAGTGGAACCAATCAGAATCGTTGTTGGGGAAAGGCTGTTAATGTTTGCCAGTACTTATCGGTGGCTTCACTTGCCAGTCCTGTGTGCCATCCAGGATTGGTTGTTAATGTGGCGTTGTGTAGTCAGGTGACAGGGATATTTAAAAAGACAGGGGCCTCTTACGTACTTATTCTTCTCTTTACGACTTCTTGCGGGTGAATAAAGAGCAGCGCCTGTAAAGGTGACTGGAGAAAGTCTGAAACAAATAGAGGAGAAATAGGACGTCATTACCAGGCGTCACCGTGGCAACCACTACACCGCGTTTTGGTATTCTGAATTTTAACTTTGAGCAGTGCACTGCAGTTGCAAAGGTGAATACCCTGTAGTTTTTACTGTGTACCTCTGTATTCTGCACTGTAATTAAACTCTACAGCACAATCACAAACCCTGAAGTTCAGAACGTAATTAATATGGATTTTCCTGTGTGCAGTAACTGTCTAGAAGAAAAAAAATGGCACCGGAAGTCCGGCTGTGTGCAACTGGCTCGGGTCTGTGACATTGTTAAAGCAAGGACAATTCCTAAATAGGGAGGTCTTAAAAATAATTCTTTCTAGCATTTATTTTGAAATAAAACCAAGAAGTAAAAACAGGAATAACTGCAGCAGCGGTTAAATAAATTACAATTTAGACAAGGTTGGGAATGTTCCTTTTTATATATTGTGTCGCATAAAGCTACTGTTTACTTCCAAATTGTAGTATAAATGGCTATGAAGGACTTAAAGAACACCACAACTGGGATATTTCTATATAACGTCAATCTTGTTGTTACTGGATAGCTGTTAATACGTGAATATCAGGAGCCCTTCCCTGTGATTAGCAGGGCCTGCAGATTTCACTTTAGCTCAACTGGTTTGGTCCCTGTTGAGTGACGCCATTGGCCCGGGTTTGAGTCCCCAACGGTGGGGGTGGGAGAGCGACCTGAGACGGCAGCAATAAGGGTGCATACCCATGTGAACCTGAGAGCATTACAATATATGTATATATGCTTAAAATGTTTAAAGTTTCTCATCTTACTGTACCTTTACAGTGCATAATGACAACCTTGTTACGCTAATTCTGTCGAAATAAAATGACTGAATCTCTTATAGTTTACATGTTCTCGATTTCTGTTTTGTTTTACACCGCTGGTGGACATTTCACTAAACTTACAGTATAGCATTGCTGTATTACATTTGCAAGTAGCTCAAACCATTATTTTTTTTTAAATGTACAACTTGTCAAATAAAACACTCGGGAACAGCGACCTATTGTATATAACGTTCCTATTGCTATGGTGTGAAGTAATTACCTCTAAAATGCAAAGGGTAATAATTTACAATCATCCCTGATTGTATTATTTTTAAAAAGACAAGCTAGAGTTTTTGACAGACAATTCCTACTCTTTTTAAAACTGTGTATTAATAAACCTACCATTCGAATATTAATACATAGTTTCTACATGAATTTATGAATTAATTAAATTAATCCATTACAATAATAATATATTTCATTATACAATAACCAATGTCGGAACCCAGGACTTTTAGTTAGAAAAATGCAAATATGTAGTTCTCAAAACAGTCCATAACATCTCCCTTCAAAATATAAACAGGTATTTGTAAGACTGTAATTCTACTCCATGTTTATTGTCGATGCTTGTACTACAGTACAACTACACTGCATTTGTTTATAATAGATGACGTAGTTAGATATGATTGATATTCCTCTCATCTAATCAAAATAAAGAAATGCCTTCCGGAAAGAACGTCACACCTTTGAAATAATTGCAAAGTAGCTATTGGCTAAGCAGTTTTGAGTAGCCAATGGGAGACAGGAGGAGGCGGAATTGGTGGGGTGCGCGGTTTATTGTGAAGAGAAAATGGACAACAGATACAGTCGGGTGAAGAATTGTTTTTAATTCTTTAAAGATGACCTGTGTTGTCATCTGTGAGGACTGACACACTGAATATATTAAACGGAGACACACAGGGAGATAACCAAGTAGGCCTTTAGCTGTTGGAGATCGGAGCGCCTGGACATCGGGTTGCCTGAGCGAGATGAGCTTCTCTCGGGAGATAAAGCGTGAGTTAGGCGGCGGGTTTGAATTGGGACTCGCAGGGTTTATGTAATCGATCTGTCCTTTGAAGACAATGCAATCCAAGTATGTGATAAGGCAGAGTTTTGCTTGGAGATTATATAAGCTGCCAAATGGCTGGGAAAGATACAAATGATTTTACCTTCGGTTAATGCTGCCCGTGCCTTTGAATCTGATTCTTCTTCTCGTTCACGTCTAGCTTGGTAACGCGCATGTTCTCCCTAGCTTTCCTGTAATCCGTTGCCTTTTCTACTTTCACCTTCAAACTCTTCTGATTGTACGTCTTTGATCCCTGTTGCTGCACATCTTGTGACTCTCCACTGATCTGTTGGCTTTTAGTAGGCTTGTATAGAAATTGGTAGCATTTCAAATGTAATACAGACACCCTGACACTAAACCTGTACATTTTTTTATCCTCAGAGCTGCAGAAAGCAAAGACTAAAGCACAGAGCACTAACAATCTGAGAGAAGAGGCCAACCTGTGCAACCAGCTAGGAGAGTTGCTAGCTAAGAATGGTGAGTGTGTACACTAATATAGTGCTTATTGAGTAGGAAACCCACTAGTTCCCCATTGAAGTGTAGCCCTCCACCTACTGTATACCGCCATTGTCAAATGTATGGTCAGTGAGTGGATCGGTGAAGTGACTGCGACAGTAAAAGTAATGTCACTCTCTTCTTAGGAGATTTCCAGGCTGCCATTGAGGAGCACCGGCAGGAGCTGGTGCTGTCAGAGGTTCTACATGATGTGATTGGCTGTGCTGTTGCTAACAGAAAGATTGGAGAGTGCTTTGCAGAGCTGGGCAACATAGAGGCAGCACTGAAGGTAAGATATGGCCTAGTTGGGGAAAACTGAAAATACAGAGGCTGGTGTACTAAGCATACAGCCTGGAGAATATTCTCACAGTCCAATAGGCTATTCAGCCCTGTTGACACTGTCCATAGGTTTTTAGATCCAGGAATTAAAAGATCCAGGTGTATAACACCCTACGATATGGCCTGAATTTATTTCTCTTGTTAGTAAAGTAGTGTTGCGGTGCATTATCTTAATGCAATTTTGCAGTTCTTCAAGCAAAATCAAATCTTGATGAATTTAATTTATGTGAAATTAATCTGAAATTGATACACTTTTATTTAGTTAATTTGGATTTTTAAAAGAACCTTAATCGTAATGAAGAACATAGACTCATTTGGTGGTGCTTAAGGTAAGATGCAAAGTAGGACCACGAATGAGCATCTCAGTCTCTTGCTCTATAGAGTAATAACTCCCAACTTCCACTTTCACTCTTCGTCACTGGTCTGAATCTCACTTGCTCTCATTCCCCGTTATTCATATCCCTATCCCTCTCCCTCAGCACCAGAGGCGCCACCTGTCTCTGGCTTGCTCAGTCAACGATGCAGCAGAGGAGCAGAGGGCCCTTGCCACCATAGGGCGGACCTTCCTGTACCGCTATGAGTCTGACCAATCACAGGACAGCTTACTGCAGGCGGAGGAAGCCTTTAAGAAGAGCTTGGCGATCGTGGATGAGCGGCTGGAGGGTAAGTGGTACTTCTCTGTGTAATAGTGCACTGAGAGTGTTAGGCAAGTTATGTCACCCCCTCGACAGTGTGGAATTCTGTTGTGACAGAGGACCCGGCCTTTTGGCATCGTAGAGTTATCACTGTCTAGGGAGTTGCAGTGTGTGTACTTGGAGATCGCAAGTGAACTGATTCAAATCCTGATAGGAGCAGAAAGAGCTGCAATCCTTGTGGTTGGACATACAGTCCTTCCTAATCGAGAGACCACGTGCGGAAAGGTAACACCAACACCACTCACCCTGAGCACGGGCACCCCACAAGGCTGCTGTCCGAGCCCAAGGTTGTACTCCCTATTTACTCACGACTTCACAGCAAGACACAACGACAATTGCATCATTAAGTTTGCAAATGACACCACTATAATGTCAATGATGATCGATGATGATGACGACGAGTCCACTTACAGGGATGAAGTCGTACAGCTGCTGTGGTGGTGTTATAGCAATAACCTGGACTTGAATGTGAGTAAAACAAAAGAACTAATAGTGGATGTTCGGAGACACAGGCCACACACTCACAGCCCACTCAGTATTTATGGAATGGAAGTGGAAACAGTCACCAGCTTTAGGTTTTTGGGAATTCACAGTTCTAATGACCTAACCTGGACTGTGAACCCGGACTTTATTTTGAAGAAGGCTCAGCAGCACCTCTATTTCCTGAGGTGCCTCAAGCGATGGGGGATGCCAGTACCTGTGTTGGTGAACTTCTACTGCTGCACCATCGAGAGCATCCTCACCAACGGGATCACCGTGTGGTACGGCAACACCTCTCGTTGAGAGAGTAAGGCACTGCAGAGAGTGGTGAATGTGGCCCAGAAGATTATAGGCTGTGGTCTCACAGAGATTAAACAGCTGTATGAGGACCACTGCCGTGGTAGAATTCTGGCCATCACAGAGGACAGTGACCACCCCGGGCATGAGTTCTTCACCCCACTGCCCTCAGGCAAGAGATATAAGAGCATACGGACACTTACCACCATATTCCTCAATAGCTTCTACTCACAAGCAGTGTGATTGGTGAACATATTTCGCCATGCCCTCGGACCACACCTATACTGTCTACCTCATTGTAATTTTATTAATTGCACATCTGCAGTCATTATTTACATGTCTGCATTGTTTACATTCGAGCTGTTTACTTGTACATTGACTACTGTTTGTTTGTATATTGTCTTGATGCACTGTCTGCACTTTGTGTTTTACACTTTTTTTTAACAATCGGGAGACTTTCTGTCAGTAAAAATTCCATTGTACCAGTACAGTACATGTACTGGTTACATATGGCAATAAAGTGCAAGTTCACTGATATAGAGCTTTTGGCAAAAAGTAGATTAGCTTTGGCAGATCTCTAAGCTTATTTTGGATCACCTCCAACGTCTTGTCTGATTATGGGGAACAGAGTTTTGTCTCATCACATTTTCAGAACTAATGAGAAACAAAACTGTACGTCGGTTTACGAACTTATCTGAGTGGTAGACATCCAAATAAAGGCTTTTGCTAGAGAAAAGTTTGCCGAGTGTGTGAAGTGCAAAATGCGGACGTAGACTAATGTGCTTGGCATGTCCTGTGCTGTCCCAGGTGCGGTGCCTCCTCGAGAGCTCAGTGAGATGCGAGCTCGGCTGTACCTGAACTTAGGCTTCGTCTACGATGGGCTGAGGGACCCCCAGCGCTGTAATGACTTCATCCGCCGGAGCGTCTTCATCGCAGAGTGAGCCTCTTGCCGTCTCAAACCCCACTGTGAAGTGTCCCTTTGTCCTCCCCTCAGGGTTCCTGTGTTAAACTAATCTGTATCGGGCCACGTTCTTCTGAATGAATTGCAAAACACGAACCCGAGGACACAATTCGAAACTATGTGGAAGTGCATTTGCAACCGAGAACAGTAGGCACTTCTTTACCCAAAGGTTTGTGGGAGTACGGAGCAAGCTGCTGTGACCCAGCCAAGCTTTAGTAGCCGATACTGTAGATTCCATCATGAAACAGCTGGATGCAACCCTTGGATCAGTGAGCTACCAAACTGTGTCTAGAAGGGCTAATCTCTTTTTTTTTAAACTTTCCTCGTGTCTGCTTTTATGTCCTGCTCTCCGAGTATCTCCTTGCCTGCTTTCTGCAGTTCAGCCATGGCCAGAGCACAACTGCTGTATCCTGGGGGTGTATGTCTCAGGCCATCTGACCTTTGAGTCACATGTTGGCCATTTAGTGCACAACACAGCAGTCACACTTATATGTTATTTTTTAAACAAAAAAAAAAGAATACTGTAACTCTTAAACAACTCTAACTTTAAAAGTGATCGTGCACTTCTTCGTTTCATTTTTGAAACCCACATCAATAATAAAACAACATGATTTATCTGTTTAAGGGTGAACATTTAGTAAGGAGGGGCTTGTGCCTTGTAAAACACACCTACTCACGTTATGCTAGAATGCATACTAGCACATACTCTAGAGTGCATAAGATGTATTTAGCACTACCGGTGTTGAGTTACTCTTAGGGATAGAGCAGACCAGCAAAATACATTTTGGCAAGAAGGGAGCATGTGGCACAAATAAAAACACTTGTGCAATTTTATAAGCGATCAGACAAAATGTTCATAAGCTACAGAAGACAATACTTTGCTGTCCTTCTTATGCCAGTATAAATGGCCAAGCTCCTGTGTACACTTTTCATTTTCTAAAGCGTGGTCTAGAGCAGGCTCACATCTTGTAATTTCTCTGATTCTCCTACAGTATCTGGGATTCTGCCATTGTCTCTGTTCCACTCACTCGGTTTTTTGCTTTGCAGGAAGAATCAGCTACTGGAGGATCTGTACCGTGCCAACTTCAACCTGGGCAGCATCCATTTCCGCAATGGGCAGCATTCCCGTGCTGTGCGTTGCCTGGAGCAGGCCAAGGAGTGTGCTCGCAAGCTGAAGGACAAATACTGTGAGGGCGAGTGTTATCACAGCATAGGACAGGTAACCCTGCTTTTCTGCGTTATAACGTGCTCTGAACACTGCGGCACTGTGTTGTTAGACAAGTTAAGCTGTACTGCTGCAAAGTGGACTAGTGTCACTGTGAAACTCTGTGTCTGTGTTTCTGTACAGGTGCTGCTGTCGCTGGGAGACTTTGTTGCTGCTCGACGATCCCTGAAAAAGGCCTTCAAACTGGGCTCCCAGCAGGCAGCTGAGAAGGAGACTGTGAAAAAGAATCTCAAACATGGTGAGGAAAGGGCTTTTCACACTTTCAAGTAGGGAGGTTGTAGGGGAGAAACTGAGTCCATTGCATCAAGAGGGCATAGGTTAATATAATGGCACAAAGACGTACTGTGATAATTGAGTTGTAATAGCAGTGATTGCGTGGTAGGCAACTGCTCAGCTGCAGTATGTTCTGTCTGATTTAAACCATTGTAAATGTTTGGTTTACAGCAGGTGCTGTATAGTAGTGGAACTGATGTTTGTCTTAGTCATTTATGGCTACCTGAGCTAGGGCAGATTCATAAGAGCATAAAAAATGTTACAAACAGAAGGGGGGCATTATTTAAGTTTTTCATCCAGCAATTTCTTGAAGTCTTGCAGGGATTTGTACTTCATTGTGGGTAGCTATGTCCTCTGGAAGTGTCCGTAGCACACTAACTGTACCTGTTGTAGGACAGTCATTAGTGCTAGTATTATTTCAGTTTTTCTTTTCCCTTCCCTTGGCAAATCGTGGACCAGGTTTCTTAATCTTCAGGGCTACTCATTTCTATTTTTTCTTATATCAAGCATCTGTAAATTCTCGGGAGAATAAAATAAACGTGAAACATTTGAAAACCAGTGAAAAAATGAGTTTTAGTCATTTTTCTGAGCAAAAATCAATGTTTTCATGTCAGCCTATCGATATTAAAGACCGCAGTCTTTCTCAGTGTTGTTACCCAGAAACTACCGGGTCTCTGAGTCCTGACTTGAGCGGTGCAGGTGTGTCAGTGCTGTGCTCTGTGTCTCTCCAGCGATCCGCGGCTGCGCGCTGGAGGAGGGCCTGTCGGAGGTGTCGGAGGGTCGGCCGCAGGAGGCTGTGGGGCTGGCTGAGCAGCTGGGAGACCTGTGCTGTAAAGTGGGCTGCTTCAGCAAGGCCCTGGAGGCCTACAGCACACAGGTGAGCTTAGACTGGGCCAAAACATGTTGCAAAACTGAACGGCTTGTGCAAAATCTTTCTGGTGCCTTGTCACAGAATGTGTTGTAGAATTCTATTTGTATCGCAAATGTCCATGTTATGAGAAAACATAAAGAATACAATTAGTGTTTAATATGGCCAGGTTCCTGTAAGTGGTGTTTTATATACCATTACATGGAACTTTCATTCATAAACTGCAGTTGCTTTTTTTTGCAACATGAATATTCATAGTCACTGTGTTTCTATATGCATATCTTGCCATTATTATTGTATTATAAAATTAAAATAGAACAAAATGTCAAATCGGCTTCCAGAAAATACAGTAACTCTTGTTCAATTATATGTTTGTGGCAAATGATTAAATATCCTCCTCCAGGGCATCTCTTGGGTTTATAATGAATGCATTATAAATGTTCTGCATGGTGAAATACATGCTCCCTGACTGGCACAGGTTGCTTCTGTACGTGGTGTTGCTGGACCAGTAGGTGTCCCTTTTTCCTCTGGACCCGAATGTTCCAATCCTCTACGGTGACAGGGTGGCATGGTGGTGCAGTGGTCAGAGTGCAGGGCCCCAGGTTCAATTCCCAGGATCTCCGTGCAGATGAATGTTCTCTCCAATATCATGTGTGTTTCCTCAAGAGTGTGTTGATTTCCCTACCACAGTTCGAAGATGTACTGGTAGGTTAATTGGCTTCTGTAAAATTGGCCCTTGTGTCTGCCCCATGATTGACCAGTGTCCCGTTGCTTGCCAGGGTAGGCTCTTGCTCCCCCACAGCCCTGTATTGGGTAAAGTGATTTGATAATGGATGGATGGTGACGTGAGAAACTGTGCCGCAGGAGGTGCCGTCCTTCATATGAGACATTAAACTGAGGTCGTTAGAGATCCCGTGCCACCATTTCTTAAAGGAGGGGTATTAACCTCTATAAGTCCTCTATATTTCCTGCATGATTTGGGCTGTATACAAACTTACCCTTACTTACCCTTAATTCAGTCAAAGTTCACTTCTCCACCGGATCTGTTGTGTTGAGGAGCTGTTGGTACGGAATGACTGCTGCGTGTCATCGCGATGGGTGCTGTACCTCAGTGATGAAGAGGGTGTCCTTCTATATGTAATGTGGTTTTTGGAACCTTTTGGATGAAAATTACTGCATAAATGCAAAGAATTATCTTACTACAATTAGTGCAGCAATACAGTCTAGGACAGAGGTTATGTGTTCCTGGTCTTGGAGGGGTGATGTGTCCGCACTGGCCCTCCAGGAGCAGGTTCGGACACTCCTGAATTGCTCTAGGTGTTCAATGCACAAGAATAACCCCACTTCCCAGGACTGAAGGTTCTTTCTGGCTTAATACATTACTGGGCATGTGGCCTCCCTAGCACACTCAGCATCCCGGAGTGTCAAATTCGACTTTGCAGTAAAATGGGTAATGTGGGTACCCCATATCGGTTTCAATGCAGTATACAAACAGTGTGTTTCTGTCTGGCAGCTGTCCAGTGCAATCTCTCTGGGGAAGCCTGATAGGGAGTTGGCTGTGATCCACGTGTCTCTGGCTGCAACTTACACTGACCTCCGGAAGCACGACAAGGCAATACAGCATTACAGACAGGAGCTGGCACTCAGAGAGGGCAACCCCCGGGAGGTAGGGCCATTGACTAAGTGCGTGCCCGCCCGTGCTGCAGGTTTATTTCAGGGGGTTTCTGACACCCCGGCGTGCGTTTTGCAGGAATGCGAGACCTGGTTGAACATCGCTGCGTCTCTGGAGGAGAGCGCCCACGGGCTGGAGGAGCTGGAGCCCTGCTACAGCGCCGCCCTGCAGTGTGCGCAGAGAGCCGAGCAGCCCCGACTACAGGTCTCTCTTCTTCGCCTTCTGTCATTTTACCCCTGCAGCGAGGTGAGGGCACAGAAATGCACATGCAAAGAAACCTTTTCGCTGCCACTCACGGGCACCCCTCCTGTCCCTCTTGGCAGTATCGAGTGCTGAAGCAGCTGCTGTGTGCCCAGCAGCGGGCGGGCTCCTCCCGCGCAGACGGCACAGCCTCTCGGCTGCAGGAGCTGTGTGGCGCAGGGGAGTGGAGTGGTGGCGAGAGCGAGGAAGAGCTGGAGGGGGAGGAGAACAGTGAACCCCTGGAGGAAAGCGACCTGGAGCTGTCTGACTCAGGTGAGCGTTTGTGCAGCGTGCGGTCATATTACAGTATAATTAGCACAGAAGGAAAATGCGCATGTAGCCTAAAAAGTAAAGGATTCCCTATCCTTAAGGGGAGAGGCTTTTTTAGTCCATGTTTTATAGCTAATTCGTAAAATGCTTGTTTTATCGGCATGTATGTTCATCTACTTTTTATAAAAAAGTAATCTATAAAAACATCTATAAATAAATTTCAATAAGGCCCTCTTAGAGCAAGTCCTTCCACACCTGCTTAGACTGGAAAGAACATTTAGGTATCATCATTGTAAAAGAGAAATCAAAACATTAAAGGAAAACAACTGTCATTTTATATAAAGGGAAATGCCTTATTTTAATACAAACTCAGACTTATTTTTTTACCTAAAAGCACTGGGACACTGAAGCACTATGAAGTAACAAGACTGAGATTTTAACAAGAGCTAAAAGAACAGGAAAGAATAGCAGGCCAGTGTCAGTAGCCTGGATCTCTCAGACCAGAATGAAACTGAAATCTGAATTTCCAAACAGAAACTGTTAAAGTGGGGCAGCACAGTGGTGCAGTGGTTTGCATTGCTGCTTTGCAGTGTGGGGGTCCTGGGTACAATTAAGGTTTCTGGGTACAATTAAGGTTTCTGGGTAAATTGGCCCTCGTGTGAGCGTGCGAGTGTGTGCCCTGCTATGGACTGGCTTCCTGTCCAGGGTGTATCCAGCCTTGTGCCCATTGCTTGCCAGGATAGGCTCAGGCTCCCCTGCAAACCCTGAAAATGGATGATCTTAAAGTTGGTAAGCAGGAGAATTTTCAATCTCTTGTGTTAAAGGAAGATCATGTTTGTTCCTCCAGCCTGTTGAAGAATAGTGCCAAGTCAGTGTGCATGTTCACAGATCTTTCTCTTTCACTGTTCTGCAGATGACGAGGATCTTGAGGGATATGACAAGATGGTCACTGGCAGGAGAAAGACTAGTCGGGTCAGTACTGGCTGGCACTGGGGTGGGTTGGTCTGGAGCACAGAATTAGGCTTGAGGTTTGATTTTATGGCATCTGGTTTTGTGGCAGAGATGCATGTTCCAGAGCCTCCTTGTTTCTTAAGGACGTCTCTTTGAGACATACAGATGGCTGCCAAACAGATTATCACTGTCACTCACATCAGTGTCCAAGTAACACACGACAAATAAGAAATGAATGTCTGGCTGATCCAGCCAAGGACATTTGATCAAATCCTGCCAGCACAATGGCAGTCTGGACTGAAATGTTTTCAGATTGATGTATTTGTGTGTCGTAGTGGATGTCCATCCATATTACTATCTGTGGCCATTTTTACAGTGGGGCTGGGTGTTTGTCATGTGGTATCTCAGTAAGAATGTGGAAACATCTTTTATGCCAGAGGGAACTATAAAGTATGACTTTGTGATCAGCTGGGATACATCATTGTTTGCTGTGAAGAGCGGGTTACAGGTGCCATGATGTAAGGCTATGCAAGTGCGGGTTGCTGGAATGAGCTGATGTACACTTCTGTCCGCAGTGGAACCGCCGCAATGAGAAGGGTGAAACCCCACTGCACCGGGCCTGTATCGATGGCAACCTGAAGCAGGTCCAGTATCTGGTGGAGCAGGTAAGGTCACGCCAGAACAGAAGAGCACACAACCACTGTACCAGAGACTGGCTGGGTCAGTACCACAGAGATGCACCGCACAGCCAAAGGCAGACTAACTAACTCACTAAGACTAACTCGGGCAGAACCTGAAATTGGAAACAATCACTGGGAACCAATAGAACACGGGCCGAGACTGAAAACTGACCAAGAGGCCACGATCCAGGGAGACTACGACTGAATATGGACCAAGACAACATAGAGGGAGACTAGGACTAATGCACCTAGAGAGCCACTGTGTCTGTTAGCATGTGTGGATTGATCATGCTGTGTGTTTCAGGGTCACCCTGTGAACCCCAGGGATTATTGTGGGTGGACTCCCCTTCATGAGGCCTGTAACCATGGACATCTAGGTGAGCGTGTCTCCATCTGTTGACCTGTCATTTTATCATCTGTTTCTTTCATCACCCACTGTGGGCTATATTCATCTCAAAGCACTTTAATCTCACTAAGCTCGTGCCAGATCCTCGTCTCCCCGCATCTTCAGTCTCATTTTAAGGAAGAACAATAACAGATATAAAATTTGCATGATCAGCAGTGTTCATGCATGTTTCCTCTATGTAATGATGATGATTGGGGTGGGCTTCTCTCTTTTGCTTTCTCTCAGAGATTGTGCGCCTCCTCCTGGAGAGGGGTGCCAATGTGAATGACCCCGGTGGTCCGATGTGCGAGGGCATCACTCCACTGCACGATGCGCTTGGCTGTGGGCACTTTCTCGTGGCCAGGCTGCTGGTGGAGAAGGGGGCATCTGTGAATGCCAGGAACACTAAGGTAGTGAAAATTTATATTGTTTTTAACTAGAACAAGCACTTCAACCCATCAGAGCTTGCTGTTTTCCCGGAAAGTAAGAAGGCACAGGTGGTTACAAGCAGGAGGAGGCCTGCATGCTCTTTTGATCATTTTCAGAAATATTAGATCCAGTTAAGAATTTGTTACACTTTGCCCAATGTCAAATGCATTTTCAGTGATTTCCGCACGGTAGTTCCTTCCAGACTGGTCAGGAAGCTGAATGACCTGGGCATCAGCACCTCTCTGCGCAGGTGGATTATGGATTTCCTGACTGGCAGACCACAGATTGTAAGGGTAGATGGAAAACTTTCTTCCAGGCTGACCATCAATACAGGTGCCCCCCAGGGCTGTGTGCTTAGCCCCCTGCTGTTCTCCTTGTCTCCCCACAATTGTGTGGCCAGACAACTCCAATTCCATCTTCAACTGCACTGATGACACTACCATCATTGGCCGAATCACTGATGAGACAGCCTAAAGGGATGAAGTCAGGAACCTGGTGGAGTGGTGCCTTGACAATAACCTCTCCCTCAGTGTCCGTAAAACCAAAGAGCTGGTCATTGATTTTAGCAAGCGGGGGGGACCACACCCCTATTCACATCAATGGGGTGGCTGTTGAGCGGGTTAGCAGCTTCAAGTTCCTGGGTACCTTCATCGCTAGCAACTTAACGTGGTCCCAGCATGAAACTGGAGTTACAAAGAAGGCACAACAGCCCTTTTACTTCCTCAAACAATTGAAAAAATTTGGTCTGCCTTCAACTGTCCTTACCACATTTTACAGGTGCACTATTGAGAGTGTGCTCACAGGTGTAATTACAGTGGTTTGGCAGCAGCTCATTGTCTGACCGGAAGGCATTACAAGGGACGGTCAGGTCAGCCCAGTCCATCATTGGAGTACTGCTCCCCTCTTTTGTGGAAATTTTTACAACTCGCTGCCTCAGGAAGGCTGGAAGTATCATTAAGGACACCAGTCATCCTGGTTCCTCACTTTTCTCCCCCCTTCCCTCTGGTAAGCGTTATAGGAGCATAAAGGCACGGATATCTAGACTCGGAGACAGCTTCTTCCCTCAAGCTGTCAGATTACTGAACTCTACACCTACCACTGGCTCACACTGATGTTTTTTTTTTCTCTAAGATGTATGTTATTTAACTAGTTGATGTTGCTGTTGCTGTTCTGTGTTTTTGGTGTTTCCAAGAGGTCTTTGTATAGGAGCATACATGCAAATAAGCATTTCATTGCACTTGTGCATATGACAATAAACTCAATTCTCTCTTATTTGGAAAAAGAAAAAATATATACTGTATTTTTTGTCCTCCAAGAAGCTAGATTTTCGCTGGCAAAAAAACAAACAAGATTGTGTGTTTTTCATTTTCCAATAAAAAAAAAAAAATCTTGGCATTTTGCTCGCAGTCTGGTTCTGCTTGATGAACCTAGTTTACACTTCAGTGACGTTCTGTCCTTCACCATTTGTGCTGAATGCAGGCATACCTCTGAGAGCACAAGTTCTTAAGCATGCTTTTTTAAGAAGAAATCAGAAACCTAAAAAAGAAAACCAAGAAGCTGGTTGAGATGTCTTGGAGAAAAAATGCCCCAGGGTTATCATTGCCACCACCTAATGAGAGTGAGGGGAGGGAATTTAATGTCATTGAGCTGATTATTTTCAATAATGTTTGCTTCAGTGCTTTGCTTTTGCCTGATGTAAGTGTTATTGACCCATTATACCATGAAAGAGCAAAATCTGCAAAACTGGCAGATTTGTAAAGGCAAAGAATTGATATATACATTATGTAGATTATAAGTGTGGAGCCCAGTGAGTGTCTCATCAGTGCTGGTTGCAGTTATTCTTTTCTTTCAGCTTTATAATGGTTATCATGTGTAGAGTATCAATATTAGAGGCTTTACAGATAACCCAGAATCAGTATCAGGCCTCTTTATATATCAGTCATAGGTAAAAAATGATGCTATAGAGAACTCATCTATAGGACCACATTCTGACGACCTGTTAGAGGACCTTGTCTTATAGTGCTCTTTTCATTTACCTGATGAGCAGCCAGAGTACTCAGACAAGAAACTATTTCTTAGTTTTCTCTTCCAAACAAAGCTTTCTTTGACTTGCTTGAGCTCATTTCCTGAAAAGGTAAAAGGGATGAAATGTTTTTTTTGGGAGGTCTGGTTTCTGATTGGGAATGGCGGGGCACCTTCATGTGTGTTGAGTGAACCCATCAGTCTAATTCAGGGCTCTCTACTTGCGTCCCCTGCAGGGTGAGACCCCCCAGGACGGCCTGCGGCACTGGCTAAAGATGTACAGCAAACACCTGGACCAGGAGACACGGCAGGACTGTGTCGACATGGAGAGATTGTTGAAGAGCGCATCTGTTAGGGGAGGTGTGAATGAGTGATATTGGGGCGGAGGCATATTATTTAATTGAAATAGTTTACTTTAGTTTCCAGGCCTTATCATTTTTTCCACCCCCCTACCCTTCTTGTTTTCCCCTTCCAGTGTTGGTCCCCAAAGCCGCGGTGCTGCAGGACTCTGAGCTGTTTGACGCCGAGAACTCAGAGCCACTGGTCTCCTCCGGGGGGCGCTGTTCTCAGACTGCTCAGCCCACAAGGGACAGCGGGCGCAGCCCTGGCAGAGCAGGTGACTTCAGTGACCTGGGAGCAGGCCACCACAGGGGCACCCGGCGATATTCCAGCAGCAGTGTGTGGCCGAGAGGCGGAGAGGATGAGTGGGAAAGTGACACTGTACCGTCTCAGGTAGGTAGCCTTTGTCTGAGCCACACTGTCATTGCATCTTTAAGAAACTCCTCTTTCAACAAATACTGGTGCCTCCTCTAGAGTGTTATTTCACAAAATTAAGTACATTTCAAATTAGGGCTGGGCGATATGGCCAAAAACATTATCACAATAAAAATGTTCATGTCAGTCGATATCGAGAATTATCACGATAAATGTCAAATCATTATTTCTTTCAAGTTTAAAGGCAGATATTTTATCCTGAGTGAAAGGTGAAGAAACCAGACAGTTAATTGGTAAATTAAACAACTATTTTAAGAACACAACAAACCTTTGCCAAACAGCAGAAACATAAAACAAATCTGGGGTAGAGAGTATTCAAGTCTTTTTTTATGTCAAAATATGCATGAGTAAAATTTACAAAATAAATATTAAATAAAAATTAAAATACTGCAGTGTGATAAAACATACATAGAAGATAGCTCAGACAGACTGCAAAGTTTAAAGTGCTCTTTTATGTCTGATCATAAAAAGCCAAAATATCTCCAAATTACCGGTTGAATGACCTTTTCTGTCGACGATGTTATCGTCCTTCGAGTTGGTCGTTGGCAGCACTACATTTGCTTCAGTGTCGCTCATTTCTCCACTCTAACTATAATCCTGTCAGCCACCACCATGTGGGTAAACAACACCACGCTAGCTGCCCGGTCTGCCACACGCACTCGCGCAGTGTTTTGTGCGCATTTATCGAACTTTTGTTAAAATTATATCGGGGAAAATTATATCAAATTATCTAATTATTGTCCAGCCCTATTTCAAATACACTTATGAGATTTCCCTCCTCCTGTATTTATTACTGAGCTTTTTTACTGAGCCATGCAGCAGCATCATGGCAAGAGATGTAAACAGACTCAATAAATTCATCAAGAAGGCTGGCTCTGCTTTGGGACATCAGTGCATCTATGGACAGCATGTTGCACTGTTGTACTTTTTGGACACTGGATTAATATACTGTGGTACTTTCAATCTGTATATACCTATGCACATTTTGCACATATTTTATTGTTTTACATTTGACTATTAGCGTATTTTGCACACACCTAACTCTATATATTTTATTTTGTATTGCTGTACTTATTTTAATTTTTTGTCTATTCTGGTGTCTGTTTTTGCTTGTCTTGGGCTGGGCTGCTGTAACACCTCAATTTTCCTTCGTGATCAATAAAATCTTATCTATCTAAAATGTGTTTTGCTGTGCAGCAACAAGCACCATGCAAGCTGGTTGAGAGAACCGGCTTCTGCAGCACATTGAACCTTCTGTCATCCTGTCGATCCTCTCATCTAGCGTGTCTCGCCGCAGAGCAGCCCCTCACGCAGCGAGATCGACTCGGACTCCTCCGTGAGCCCCCTCCGCCCTGTCTGCCCCCGCCTCCGCCTCCCAGCCTCCCCCGTGCCCACTGAAGAGGTCCTGTCGGCAACAGGGAGGGAGGCAGAAGCTCCTGCTTTCAGTGGGAGGGAAGAGTACCAGAGAGCCATGAGGGGCCTGGGCAGTGCCAAGTCCCGTCTTTTAAGTCAGGGCCTATCAGAACAGGAACTTAGTACCAGTGCAGCGGTGTCAGTCAATGGCAGGTCTGCGCTTGTGCGGGAAGAGGAGTACGTGGATGATGATTGGCTGGAAGATGATATTGGTGCGGCTCAACCCAGGAAGAGGAGACGAGTTGGTTCTGAACAAGAAATGAGAAGGGAAACTCCAAGTGCCCGCTCAGAGACTAGGGGGCAGAACAACTCTTCTGCAGCACCAGAAGTTGTTCCCAAAGGTAGGTATATGTAGAGACTGTGGTGCACTGTTATAGGAAGGTCACTTTATTTGTAAAAGGCTATAATCTTTGTTTAGTTTATTGAACATGCACAGTGCACAGCTCTTACGTTGCACCAGAGTTAGTTAAACAAAGTCATATGCATTTGACTATTTTACTCTACTGTTTTCCCTGTATATGCTTAGACAAATGGTAAATGTAATGTATTAGCAGCTACAATACTTCATGTTGGATGCCCATGTATAGTGTACCTTGTGTCCTGATACAAACTAAGCTATACTAATAATGAAATTGTTATAAAGCAAATATACACTTTAAGAGCCTTTGATTATATTGTTGGTGCTCATAGCATATTGCCAGCAGCCATATCACCCTGCAGCTCACGGCTGGCAGCCCACTGAAGCTAAGCAGGTGTGAGCCTGGTCAGTACCTGGATGGGAGACCTCCTGGGAAAA